TAATAATAATCTTTATTTATAGCCCGCCACTATCTCCCCAGGGGGACTCAGGGCGGCTTACATGAGGCCAAGCCCAACAATACAACAATGCAAATAAAACAACATACAACAACAGTAAAATAAAATACAAAAAACAATATAGATAAACACCAACAATATAAAAACTACAATAATTTAAACACAAGAAAATAAATCACAGTGGGCAGGGTGACAACAAGGATTAAAAGTTTGAAAACACTGGATGAGAAGGCAATGTATTGTATCTGGACAGGGGTTCAGAGGGATGAAAGTAGGGTTTAATTGCACTAATAGGTAGAAAATAAAGTGCTTCCGAGGACAATTATTTTGCAGTTTGCTCAGGTCAGAGGCTATAGTTCAGTTGATCATTCCTTGAAGGCGCATTGGAACAGCCAAGTTTTCAAGCTCTTCCTGCTAAGGTGGGGGCTTGCCTAATTTCTCTGGGGAGCGAATTCCAAAGTCGAGGGGCCACCACAGAGAAGGCCCTCTCCCTCATCCCCACAAAACGCACTTGCGATGGAGGCTGGAGCACAAGAAGGGCCTCTCTGGAAGATCGAAGAGAAGTTTGACATAATATATACCCCAATCGTCCTTTAGAAAAGGGCTGGTGTACATAATATCTTACACACAACATAGCATTTAATTTTTCTGCCTAATTTCTTTTAAAGTAGCAGCCAAAGCAGTGTTGGGTGGTTCCCTCCTGTTACTAATCCAGGGAATCCTTAAGAGTAAAACTGAGGGCCACTGGGAGACTGTAGGCCCTCCTGTTGTTTACTAGGGACAGCAACAACACTGGTGTTTGTTCCATACCAATGTGCTCTCCACAGGCATCACAGTACTCCGCATAGAGGCTTTCATAGCAGTGGCAGCAGTACGGGCGGCTCTGGCGCATGATGTACCGTTGACCTCCTAGCGCCTCCTCGCACTCGAAGCAGCAGAAATGGCGCATGTGCCAATGGCGCCCCTCCGCCTCTGTGCATTCATCTGCAAAAATTATCTAGCAGGGGAAACAAAAGATAATAAATAAGCCCAGGGAAAGAAAAGCAACAGGCAAGAAAAGAACAGGAACCTCTTGCTCCAAAAGATGGAGAGATCCCCATTCATTTCCATCTGCAGATGAACCTACATAAACCAATTATTTTATTTTCAAAGGCTTTCATGGCTGGAATCACTGAGTTGTTGTAGATTTTTTTCGGGCTATATGGCCATGTTCTAGAGGCATTCTCTCCTGACGTTTCGCATGCATCTATGGCAAGCATCCTCAGAGGTAGTGAGGTCTGGTGGAACTAGGAAAAAGGGTTTATATATCTGTGGAATGACTAGGGTGAGACAAAGGACTCTTGTCTGCTGGAGGTAGGTGTGAATGTTTCAACTGAAAAATTAGGCCTATACTTGAGTATATACAGTATATGTGTTATTGAGATTTTTAATGCTTATATTGACTTGTTAATTTTATGTTTATGTTGTTTACTTTGTATGTATTGATGATGCTACTTGGAAACCACTCTGAGTCCCCTCGGGAAGATAGAGCGGTATATAAATAAAGTTTTGTTGTTGTTGTTAGATTTCCAAGGGTGATCCTAGATTCAAACTTTGGTCTCCTAGGATTTTAGACTATCATGCAAACCACTGCAACACGCTGGCTTAAAAATGCCTGCTGCATGCCAGATATATAACTACAGAGATCCCTCCCCGTTTGAATGTGTCTGTTCTAAATCCCACGTAGCTGCACCCAGCCCCTCACCTCATCGCAGGCCTCACAGCGTGGTTTGAGGCGCTCAGCGTGGTGCCGCCCACAATAGATCTTGCCATCCTGGTAGAAATAGATGAGGTCGACCAGAAGCTCTCGGCAGGTGGTGCAAACAAAGCACTGTGGGTGCCAACAGGCGCCATGCCCTGCACGGCTGGCAAAGACAGCAATGTCCCCACCACAGATCTGCTTCCCACACTGCCAAAAAAAGGACAGAAATGCAACAGTCAGCCGTTAGCATAGGATACTTTGCAAACAATTAGTCACACCATCCTAGTAGTGGTTACAGCAGTCCTCAAAGGTAGACCTGAGCAGGATTATTTCCAGACTGCGTTATGGAGGCACCTTTCCAGATGATCAGAACCCTCCTCTCATTCCCTGGACAATAAGTGCACAGTTAGAGAATCCAGATATTTTCCCTCAAGACAGCAGTTCTCTTGAGCTGATGCATTTTTTCCCTAGGATGATGAACACACATCCCAAAGGGGCTTTTAATCCAACTGACAAAATTCTGTGGATAGTGAACATGGCTTTGTTTGTGATATATGTCATTCTTCTACGACACCAAATTGGGAGGGATAGCCAATACTCCAGAAGACAGGAGCAGAATTCAAAATGATCTTAACAGATTAGAGAGATAGGCCAAAACTAACAAAATGAAGTTCAACAGGGACAAATGCAAGATACTCCACTTAGGCAGGAAAAACGAAATGCAAAGATACAGAATGGGGGACAATGCCTGGCTCGAGAGCAGTACGTGTGAAAAAGATCTTGGGAGTCCTCATGGACAACAAGTTAAACATGAGCCAACAATGTGATGCGGCGGCAAAAAAAGCCAATGGGATTTTGGCCTGCATCAATAGGAGTCTAGTGTCTAGATCCAGGGAAGTAATGCTACCCCTCTATTCTGCCTTGGTTAGACCACACCTGGAATATTGTGTCCAATTCTGGGCACCACAATTGAAGAGAGATATTGACAAGCTGGAATGTGTCCAGAGGAGGGCAACTAAAATGATCAAGGGTCTGGAGAACAAGCCCTATGAGGAGTGGCTTAAAGAGCTGGGCATGTTTAACCTGAAGAAGAGAAGACTGAGAGGAGAAATGACAGCCATGTATAAATATGTGGGAGGAAGTCTCAGGGAGGAGGGAGCAAGCTTGTTTTCTGCTGCCCCTGGAGACTAGGACGCGGAACAATGGCTTCAAACTACAAGAAAGGAGATTCCATCTGAACATGAGGAAGAACTTCCTGACTGTGAGAGCCGTTCAGCAGTGGAACTCTCTGCCCCAGAGTGTGGTGGAGGCTCTTTCTTTGGAAGCTTTTAAACAGAGGCTGGATGGCCATCTGTCAGGGGTGATTTGAATGCAATATTCCTGCTTCTTGGCAGGGGGTTGGACTGGATGGCCCATGAGGTCTCTTCCAACTCTATGATTCTATGATTCTCTTGGTGATCATTGAAAGCATTTCAGGCTTTCATATTTGGCCACAAGAGCTCTGATAGGTCAGGTTGCAAGACATTTTTTCGATCATATATGTGCTATAGTTTGACCTCTCCACCAACTTGGTAGGTTAAATCAGCCTAGGCCAGTGGTTCTCAACCTATGGATTCCCAGATGTTTTGGATTACAACTCCCAGAAATCCCAGCCAGTTTACCAGCTGAAGGCCAAAACATCTGGGGACCCACAAGCTGAGAACCACTGACCTAGGTCTTACCCAGGCATGTAGCCGGGGAGGGGGGGGCTTGAGGGGGCTTTAGCCACACCCCCCCCCCCCCCCACCCCCCCACAGCCCCCCCCCCCCAGCCACTACCCCCAATCCCCCCTCTCCCCCCCCCACCTCCACACCGAGCCCCTCCCCCCCCCCCTACCCCCCCCTCCCCCCCCCCCCCAGCCCGGCCCCCCCGCTACCACCCCCCCCCCCCGCCCCGTCTCCCCCCCCCCCTCCGCCCCCCCCCCCCCCCGAAATTCTCATGGTGGTCCGCGAAAAGGCCTTACTGGTGCATTATTTAAACTGTTATGTTTATTCATATCATGATCTGATCACCATACTCAATATATCCCATATGCATGGGGGTATTCGGGTAACGATACAAAAGGTTTGCTAGGGTAGAACCTCTTTCACTCAGACTCAGCCCCCCCCCCCCGAATCAAAATCCTGGTTACGGGCCTGGTCTTACCTAAAGCAGCTATGAACTTTTCTAGAGAACACCTCCTCTAACCTGTTTCTTTGTAGGAAACGAGCTTGTGAAGGCCAAGAGGTGGGTCTTTTTAGGGGCAACGGACACAAAGCTGTGGAATGTCCTCCCTAATGACACTTCTTATGCAGCCTCACAGCTACTCACAAAAACAGACTTGTTTCTCAGGCAGGAGAACAAGGTGAACATCTTTTCCTATTCTTGGTAGTTGTGTACAGTTAGCAGAGTGCGTATTATTGAATAAAAGAGGGGAAACAGATTATAAGGTTCTGTGTGTTTTTGTGTGTGTTAGAAAGAGAGAGGAAGATGGAAAGAGGGATGGAAAAACGAGAGAACACAAACATGAACAGAAGCCAAGAGAAATTAATCAGCTCATTTGAGCACCAGATGTCACTGTTACTCCACCAACCTATTTATATATCTAAGTTGTCCTACTCTGGCAATCCAGGATCAGGTCTACTCCAAACCACCAAATCCAGTTGTGGCCTGCCTTCTAAAGCAATGCTAAACTCTAAACCAGTGGTTCTCAACTTGTGGGTCCCCAGGTATTTTGGCCTACAACGCCCAGATATCCCAGCCAGTTGACCAGCTGTTAGGATTTCAGGAAGGCCAAAACATCTAGGGACCCACAGGTTGAGAACTACTGCAACTCTTAGAATCCTAGAGTTGGAAGAGACCTCATGGGCCATCCAGTCCAACCCCCTGCCAAGAAACAGGAAAATTGCATTCAAAGCACCCCTGACAGATGGCCATCCAGCCTCTGTTTAAAAGCTTCCAAAGAAGGAGCCTCCACACCACACTCCAGGGCAGAGAGTTCCACTGCTGAACGGCTCTCACAGTCAGGAAGTTCTTCCTCATGTTCAGATGGAATTTCCTTTCTTGCAGTTTGAAGCCATTGTTCTGCATCCTGGTCTCCAGGGCAGCAGAAAACAAGTTTGCTCCCACCTCCCTGTGACTTCCTCTCACATATTTATACATGGCTATCATATCTCCTCTCAGCCTTCTCTTCTTCAGGCTAAATATTATATTATATTATATTATATTATATTATATTATATTATTATAAGCACAGTGCAGGAGACACTGTCTCCTCTCAGTCTTTTATTCTTCAGGCTAAACATGCCCAGTTCTTTAAGCCACTCCTCATTGAGCTTGTTCTCCAGACCCTTGATCATTTTAGTCACCTTCCTCTGGACACATCCCAGCTTGTCAATATCTCTCTTCAATTGTGGTGCCCAGAATTGGACACAATATTCCAGGTGTAGTCTAACCAAGGCAGAATAGAGCATGGGTAGCATTACTTCCCTGGACCTAGACACTAGACTCCTTTTGATACAGGCCAAAATCCCATTGGCTTTTTTTGCTGCCGCATCACATTGTTGGCTCATGTTTAACTTGTTGTCCACGAGGACTCCAAGATCTTTTTCACATGTACTGCTCTCAAGCCATTCATCCCCCATTCTATATCTTTGCATTTTGCTTTTCTGCCTAAGTGGAGTATCTTGCATTTGTCCCTGTTGAACTTCATTTTGTTAGTTTTGGCCCATCTCTCTAATCTGTTAAGATCTTTTTGGATCCTGCTCCTGTCCTCTGGAGTATTGGCTATCCTTCCCAATTTGGAGTCGTCTGCAAACTTGATGATCATGCCTCCTAACCCTAACCCTTAATAAAGATGTTGAACAGGACCGGGCCCAGGACGGGACCCTGCATATGGCACTCCGCTCATCACTTCTTTCCAGGATGAAGAGGAAGCATTGGGGAGAATCACCCTCTGGGTTCGTCCATTTAACCAATTACAGATCCATTTAACCGTAGTTTTGCCTAGCCCACGTTGGACTAGTTTGTGTGCCAGAAGGTCATGGGGGACCTTGTTGAAGGCCTTACTGAAATCTACTACATGGGCAAAGCAGAGTAAATGTTTTGTTGCTGTGAAGTTCTTGCAAATTGGCTTTGACTGCTCTATGAATAAGACCTGGTCATCAACGATAAGACCTGGTCATCAACAACTCTATTCTGCTCTTGCAGGCCCAGGGCTTCCTTGATTGACTGAGTGATCACAGCACAGATGGACTGATTGAATGAATCCACTGAGCTGTCTTTCCCTTTCCTACTGCCTCCCAATTTGCCAAGCATTACCATCTTTTCTCATTTTGTTGACAAGCGAACAGAGGACGACCCAATCTTGCTAGAGATTAGAACAAATGCGTCCAGTAGACACAGAGACTAAAACATGTTTGTCTTGATCCTTTTAACCCTTCCCTCATTCCTGAGCAAGAAGGCAAGGACTGCCAAGACTTTAATCCCAAATAACCTGAGAGTTACTCTGGATCGTGCTCTGACCTACAAGAAGCTCTGCCTGAATGTCAAGCAAAACATGGGCGCTAGAAATAATATCATACAAAAGCTGACTGGTACAACCTGGGGATCACAACCAGACACAGTGAAGACATCTGCCCTTGTGCTATGCTACTCTGCTGCTGAGTACGCATGCCCAGTGTGGAACACATCTCACCACAGTAAAACAGTGGATGTGGCTCTTAATGAGACATGCCGCATTATCACGGGATGTCTGCACCCTACACCACTAGAGAAATTACTCTGTTTAGTCGGTATTGCACCATCTGAGATCCGCCGGGAAATAGCAACCAATAGTGAAAGGACCAAGGCAGTGACATCTCTGGCCCATCCTCTGTTTGGGTATCAGCCAGCATGCCAACGACTTAAATCAAGAAATAGTTTTCTAAGATCTACAGAGGCACTCGCTGGAACACCTCAGCAAGCGAGAGTCCAAAAGTGGCAGGCTCAAACCCAGAGCCTCAATCAATGGCTGATACCAAATGAGAGACTCCCCCCTGGGCACACAGAAAACTGGGAGACTTGGAAGGCGCTGAACTGACTGCGCTCTGGCACCACGAGATGCAGAGCCAACCTTAAGAAATGGGGCCACAAAGTGGAATCCACGACATGTGAGTGTGGAGAAGAGCAAGCCACAGAACACCTACTGCAATGCAACCTGAGCCCTGCCACATGCACAATGGAGGACCTTCTTGTGGCAACACCAGAGGCACTCCAAGTGGCCAGCTACTGGTCAAAGGACATTTAATAGAATACCAAGTATGCAGTTTTTGTGTTTTGTTTATTTGTCTGTCTGTCTGTTTTTTAATGCAATACAACTGGTTTGGTTCGCTCCTGACACGATAAATAAATAAATAAATAAATAAAAAACCCCAAAGACAAAGTTTGGATTGTCGATGTTGCAATCCCAGGTGACAGCAGGATTGAAGAGAAACAACTGGAAAAGCTGACACGATATGAGGATTTAAAGATCGAACTGCACAGACTCTGGCACAAGCCAGTCAAGGTGGTCTCAGCGGTAATCGACACACAATCTTCCTAAATCTGAAATAATCCAAAATTCAAAACACTTCAGCCCCACACATTTTAGATAATGGATACACAACATATCATTTCCTCAAACAGTTTTGATACGAAGAAGTAGTGGAGCAAGACCTCAGTACCTGCTCACAAATGGCTCCAGTTATGGTGACAGGAAAGAGTCTGACGGTCCCTCGGCCAAGGTTTTCTCTCTTCCGCTGTTGTGAGAATAACTTCAGCTCTTTTGCCTCTTCCTCTTCCAGAGAACTACAATACTGAGCCTGAAAAATGAATGTGCAGGTGGGAAGGACAAGGGACAAAGAAGAGAATAGTCAGCTCAGAAAGCTCATTTCTATATATATAAATCTGTTAGGTTGGTTCAACCGGACAGCAAAACTCCACAACCCCCCAATGAAACTGTACCAAAATTGCCATGCCCATAACACAACCCACAAGGTATAAACATATCTACTCAAAATGAAAAACAACACAACAACACACTCACAAAACGGCAAAACAACAAAACTCAAAAAACCAACGAAACTTAACCAAAATTCCCATGCCCATAACACAACCCACAAGGTACAAACATATCTACTCAAAATGAAAAACAACACAACAACACACTCACAAAACGGCAAAACAACAAAACTCAAAAAAACCCAACGAAACTTAACCAAAATTCCCATGCCCATAACACAACCCACAAGGTACAAACATATCTACTCAAAATGAAAAACAACACAACAACACACTCACAAAACGGCAAAACAACAAAACTCAAAAAAACCCAACGAAACTTAACCAAAATTCCCATGCCCATAACACAACCCACAAGGTACAAACATATCTACTCAAAATGAAAAACAACACAACAACACACTCACAAAACGGCAAAACAACAACACAAAACACCCAACGAAACTTAACCAAAATTCCCATGCCCATAACACAACCCACAAGGTACAAACATATCTACTCAAAATGAAAAACAACACAACAACACACTCACAAAACGGCAAAACAACAAAACTAAAAAAAAAAACAACGAAACTTAACCAAAATTCCCATGCCCATAACACAACCCACAAGGTACAAACATATCTACTCAAAATGAAAAACAACACAACAACACACTCACAAAACGGCAAAACAACTGAGCATGCGCATTGGTGCCCAGCCGCAAGTTCCCTGGCGCGCACACACAGTTCCCTCTGCGGAAGCCATGCCCACTCCAAGCCCCGCCGCGCCGCTTCCCGCACACACACACCCCTGCCGCACGCACACACACAACCCCACGCTCCATCACTCCCCCCACCGCCACACACACGCGCAACCCCACCGCTCCATCACTCCCCCCACTGCCACACACACACACGCAACCCCACTCCCCCCCGCTGCCGCACACCCGAGCGCGGCGGGAAGCCCCGCCTTCACATTGGTATGAACCGCAGCTGAGAGTTCCGCAGTTCCTGGATCGAGTTTGTGGGACCAACAGATGAAATGTGCCCCAGCAGCCGGCTCAAAGCCAGGAATGCCTGCAGTCTCTCCTTGCTTTCCCCTTCCCTTTACTTTGTATCATTTCCCTAATAAAGGTACTTGAAACTTGCAACTCTTTATCTCTCCGCATGCTACTTTTGTATCCTTTCTTGACTCAAACTAAAATAACATGGCAATAAACCTTTTTCCRGGCTCCGGAGAGCCGTGAGCCCGCGGGAGGCGCCTCCGGGCGCCCCCCGGACCCCGAATCTGCGTCCGCCTAGACCGCGGATACGGAAACYGCCATTTCAGACCCCCTTATCCGCGAGAATTCATAAAATGGCGGATCGCCGCCRTTCCAATTTTGTATTTTTCTGCTACTAATCCTAAGCCTATCTGCCATCTCCCTTTTCTCATTTTGGGCCCCTTCACCCGGGAATAAATTGTTTTSTTTCAAGTATTTTACTTTGACAGAAAACAGCTGATTGTCAATTTGGCCGGGCTTTTCGCTTCTCTTCGGCAGCCCTCGCTCCCATTTGGATCTAGCAACCAGGGACCCACTGCGGCTGCCCAGGGGAGTCCCGGGAAGGCGGCCAGGCATGGGTCCCGGCCTCCGACTGGGGAGATGTAGTTTCCCAAAGGACATTGCCCCATCAATTGCAACCCGGAAATCCTCTTCAGACTCTTTTGCCCTCTCCTAGTGACTTTCTGCCCCATGTCCCGGACCGTCTTTCCTGCTACATCTTTGGACACCAGCTTCAGACCAGGCTTGCCTTGAAGGACAAGCAGCCTCAGCCTCCGCGCGCCTTCATCAAGAAGATAATGAATTTCTTAAAATAATAAAATAAAAATTGACTATTCTTAATAAACTTTGCTGGGGATGGGGATGGGATTTTGCTCATGAAATATATGGAATGTATATAATGAAATATCATATGGAATGTACTCTGATTCCCCCTCCCGCCTTTCCCTTTGACCCTTGCCCCAAAAAGAATGTGACCTGGGGATTACTGCCTCAGAGAGGAACTCCTTTGTCCTCTCGAAACTGTCTTGTTTACATTTGCATGGGCCGCGCTGTTGATTTCTTCCCGATCCTGACTTTCAGAGCAGACAGTGAGGGGAGGGGGAGTCAACAGAAACTCAGGAAGAAAAGACTGATTGAATCATTTTTGATATTGTTGATCCCCCCTTGAGGTCCAATATCGTCGAAAGCTTCTTTTCATACTTCCTCCCAAATCCCATCACAAACCAGGAAGCTCATTGTTCCCCTATCGGACACCCCGCCGTGTGAGAACAAAGGCTCACATATCAGCTGGCGGATGCCCTTAACAGCTGTCATTTCCTCAGCCTTTGTTAAGCTTCGTCCCGCCTCCTAGCTGCCGATTGGTCCATCTTCCGAGGCGCTAGGAAGGCGTTGATTGGCCCCCTAGAGGCGGCGGAGCCCGCTGATTGGACAGGAGGCGGGGCATGCCGCCAAGCCTCCTCCCAGCTGTTCCGCGGCCAGCCAATCAGGACGAAGCCGGCCGGCAGAGGGCGGGCGGGAATTTTGAAACTGTTTTCTTTTGTTTGAACCCTATAAAATGCTTGGAAAATCCTGTAAAATTATGCTTGTATGTGAATCATCACTACAATTGCATCCTTTTCAGCTGAATCGCAGAATAAATGCCTCGGTCACTGAACCTCTTCCGCCTCCGGTGAGATTGATTTTTAAAATATTTCTGTCTTCTTTGGATTGGCTTCGCTGGGCTAATCGAGGTTCGAGGACCCTTTTGGGCGGTCCTAAGGGATCTCTCTCGCTGGGAGACCCCCACAAAAGAGCTCGATATCACGCACACACACACGCAACCCCACGCTCCATCACTCCCCCCACCGCCACACACACACACACAACCTCACGCTCCATCACTCGCCTGCCCCAATCTTACCTCCTTTTACTTCACGCCACCTCCAAACCCCACCCCGCCCTGTCAAAATCCAGGAAAGACAGGAAGGAAGGAAAGAAGGAGAAAGAGAAAGGGAGAAGAGAAGGGGGAAGGAAGGAAGAAGAAAGAAAGAAGAAGAAAGAAGGAAAGAGAAAGGAAGGAAAAAAAGAGGACAGCAGAAGAGAAAGAAAAGGGGGAGGAAGGAAAGAGAAGAGGAGAAGAAGAAAAGAGAAGGAAGGAAAAGAAAAAGGGGGAAGGAAGAGGAGAAAGGAAGAAAAGAAGGAAGGATGGAGGGAGTGAAGGAAGGGGGAAGATGTAGAGAAAGAGGGAGGGAAGGAAAGTAGATAGAGAAAGAAGAGGAGAAGGAAAGAAAGAGAAAAGGAAGGAAGGAAAGAGAAGGAAGGAAGGAAAGGAGAGAAAGGAAGGGAGAAAGAGGGAAGAGGTTGGCCACAGCAACACGTGGCGGGTAAAGGTTGTTATTTCTATTATTATTATGATGCTATTATTCCTATGAGACCCTTTTAGGGGGAATGGGAGAGGTGTCAGGTCCCAGAGGCAATGCATTGCATTATTGTTATTGTTATGATGGTGGTGAAATAAAAGGAAATAAAAAGAGAAAGAAGGAAGCAAACAGGGAGGGAAGAAAGGCAAAGGAAGAAAGGGGGAGGGAATGAAGGAAAGAGAGAAGGATGAAACCAAGTAGTGAAAGAAAGAAAGAGGTAGAGAAGGAAGAAAGGAGAGAAAGGGGGAGGAAAAGGGGGAAGGAATAGGTAGGTACCTCTCTTTCATAATGGTCCAGATATCTACCTCAACTTTGATAAGTTTTACTATAGGCCACAGCAACGCGTGGCAGGGCACAGCTAGTCTATATATATATAAATGCTCTGTGTGTCATGAGTACCTTAAAAACAAAAGAACCAGTGAACGAAATCACACTAAATTTGGCAGCAAAATGTCTCACAACACAAGGAGTGATCATCACTCAAAAAACTATGATATTGTCATTTGGGAGTTGTACTGCTGGGATTTATAGGTCACCTATATTCAAAGAGCATTCTGGACTCCACCAACGATGGAATTGAACCACACTTGGCATACAGGAATCCCCTGACCAACAGAAAATATTGGAAGGGTTTGGTGGGCCATTGACCTTCAGTTTTGGAGTTGTAGTTCACCTACATCCAGAGACCACTACAGACTCAAACAATGATGGATCTGGACCACACTTGGCACTGATACTCAAAATGCCCAAATATGAACACAGATAGGGTTTGGGGGAAATAGACCTTGACATTTGGGAGTTGTAGTTACTGGGATTTATAGTTCACCTACAATCAAAGAGCATTCTGAACCCCACGAACGACAGAATCACACTGACAAAGAAACCGCAAGAAATATTGTTTGCCCACAAGCATAAAGAAATTACATATATTAGAAACCAACACTTTCTAATTACTTTATTTTCGAGATCACCAGACTGGGCCACAGCAATGCGTGGCAGGGGACAGATAGTTACATATATATTTGCAGAGAAGTCATATGGAATTGCTGGAAAAAAGAAAAAGAAAAAAAATGAAGCCTTCCCTCCCCTCTAGAGTGGCGACGACTTGCATATTATTTACAAAGCACCATGGAGGTAGAATATTTATTATTATATATTATTTACTGTATTTATATACCGCTTTACTCATCCCTGGGGGACTCTAAGCGGTTTACAACATAATCGTGGCAAAATTCAATGCCAAACATACATTTAAAAAAACAAATCATAATATCTAAACAATAGCATATAACTATGAGTTAAAATCATTAAGACCAGGGGTTCTCAAACTAAGACCCGGGGGCCGGATACGGCCCTCCAAGGTCATTTACCCGGCCCT